ATCTCCATTGTCATACTTTGATAACATTTGCCAGTGATGCACATTCTGTTTTCCTCCTCAGTTCTTCATTTGTGATTTTGTTTGGCTAATATATTCGTAGAATTCTTCTTAAACGTTTACTTTGAAGAAAAGTCACAAGTTTATGTGTAATTCCCGCTGTCATTTTCCAACATTCACTGTTGTATAATAGTTTTCCTAAAATGTTGCTCTTGTATATTCTGAGTTTTGTCTTCAAACTAAATTCCTTTGACTTCTATATATTGTTAAGCGTGACAAATGCTTGATTTGCTTTGTTTTTCTTGATGTTACATCCTTTACAGAATCTCTATCTGGAGTAACTTTACTTCCGAGGTGTATAAATTCTTCAACTTCCTCTATTGCTTTATCATTTAAGATAACTGGATTTTCTGTTCTGTAATTATTTCCTATTACTTTAGTTTTACTTTGAGTTTATTTTGAGTCCTATCTTAAGGGATGTTGTTGAAAATCTTTCAATCTTTTCCTCAGCGTCCACATGACGGCTTGATATAAGGCAGATGTCATCTGCATAGTCCAGATCCTCTAAAACAGAGGTGAGAGACCACCTGATGCCTCTTTCTCTACCTCCTGTAACTTCCTTCATCAGCCAGTCAATGGCCAAATTGAACAAAAAGGGGAATAGTATGTCTGACTCCTGTGTTGACAAAGAAACTTTCTGTTGTATAATTATCACAAACTACCTTGCGTCTAAACTCTTAAGTGAATAGATTTGATCAAATTTACTATTTTCTGTGGTATACCATAGTGACGCAAAATCATTCTTAGTGATTCCCTTTGCAAGCTATCAAAGGCTTTGCCACAAAGGACATATAAACTGCACTATTCCATTCGTTACTTTGTTCAATTATTTGACGCAGAGTAAAGATGTGATCAATACATGATTTCCTCTTTCTGAATCCTGCTTGCTCTTGACTTATTATACTATCAAGTGCTCGAGTCATTCTTTTAAGAATTATCCGGCTAAAGATTTTAATAGTTACTGATAGTAGTTTGACCTCTCCAGTTGTTTCAGTTTCCTAAATCTCATTATGTCACATGGAGATCTCCAGACGGATACACGGAAAACCAAACTGACCATTTTCTTATAAATGGAAAATGGAGGCATTCTGTGCAAGACGCCGAAGTGCGTAGATCAGCGGAAATAGGGAGTGACCATGATTTGCTTATTGGAAAAATCAGGTTAAAACTGAGGAAAGCTAAAACAACAGGAAAAAAAAAAAAAAAAAAAAACGCAGCGATATGATGTAGGAAAATTGCAAGACGCCGCTTCTCACCTAAAAGTTAAGCTGGTCACAGCTGTGTCCAGGTTGACGAGACTAAGTTTCTTGTCCGTCAAGTGTTTATTGCCCCAGCCCCCAACTACGACGTAGTTACGTTCCAAAGTGTAACTGCAATGGTAATGCAAGCGAGCCGTGACTATTGTGTTGTATTGTAATTGTGTGTGTTCGACACTGAGTATCTCCTGGGAATCTGGCCTGGATAATTTGACCGTCAGTTACATCAATGTAACTGTGAATGTTGTACGGTGAGGTGTTTTCATTTCCACCACTGTGTTTTGGTTCAAGGACATTCTAGTTGTTATATTCTGTTATTCTGGAACAAAGAAAACACAAACTATAATTGTTGAAATTGTACTTCAGTTATAAAGGATTCACTTATTTGCTTCATTTATGTAATTGTTACTGTAGTATGCACCTGACGAGATAGAGCGAAATATGCCAGGCAATATATTGTGCAATCTATTGTTTGTGACTTCTTTGTTCAAATTTACAACGGGGAAACATTGCTTTGATTTTCTGTTACATTTGCCCAGTATTGTAAGTATTATCTCTTGATTCAGTGGGATTCATATAATTCCCCTCCCCCTTCCAAATGTCCATATTAGTGATTCTCATTTGTTTTCTTACCTACAAACTGCTGTTACAGTGCCTCAAATTAGAAAACAAAAGGCCGACGAAACAGGTCAGCTATATTAAAAACGTAAATAAATCAATCAAATAATTTTTATTATTTTATTATTATATAAAAAAACGTGATCCTCTCATAAACACCAAATTGGATGAAAAAGTTGAAAATCAAGCAAGCAATGCACATTCAACGATAGGAGCGGGAGAAAAAAAGGGGGGGGGGGGGGGGTAACATTAAGAAATAAAGAAACCAGTCTCATAGAGTGCATTATTTATGGCAAGACGAAAGACAGCCTGGGGCGTAGCTATGGTATTTAGCGCCCATAGCAACCTAGGGGTATTTGCGCCCACCATTGGTGCTCATACATGTGCGCCACTATGAAGAAAACAGGGGGGGGGGGGGGTGCTCAGCCCCTACCCTTATAATTTTCTATTGGCGGGGCTCAAAAGGTATAATTCTTGTTTAATTGCCAATTAAAGACAATTGCACTATGTCTTCTAATGAAACTGAAACATTTTAACCCCCTCCATTTAAATTTCGTAAGTAATATGGCTAGTTTAACAGCGGTGTCCGAGAGACAGATGGATTTACATTTGAAACTAAGGTTAAAATTGGACATAACGAGTGGCGCACACCGATGTGTTTTATGTTCAACCCGGCCTGTCTATACTAATAATAATTGTGTTGACCGTGACTGATAGACATCTGTGTTGGGCGGCTGCCTGCGTCGGCTGCTGGATGCAGCTTATTCTTCCGGTCACGTGACAGTAATGGCGAATTGAGAGGGATTTGAGATCTTGTTTAAAAATGGTAGGTCATTCCGTTGTAAAACAAAATAATAACCTGCCTTCTGCATAGCAAGTGATACATTTAAAATTTAAAGGTGTTTATTATTAATGTACAATTTTATATAATGTTTTTGTTTTGCCGACTTCTGGATAAAGTTTGTTACGATTAAATAGATTATTATCATTTTACTGTATAATTACTATACTTGTGAACAGAATAACGACCGGCGGACTAAGTCACGTCAACGTTAACGAACGATAACCCACCGCCACAGTGGCATGTTTAATTTACTTGACTTGAATAAATCTAAGTCTGTAACACATATTTGTACAGATAGAATTAGCGACATGTAGTGAGTGTTTTGCGCAAATAATAATACAAGAGATAGTTGGCCTATTCATACATCCTTTCCTTGCTTGTTACCCAGAGAGTAAATAGAAATATGTAAAACAATCAACTATTAGTTGCAACGATCACCACATAACCTAAGTTAAATTAATCCTGCAGTCAACTTCTCAAATCCACTTACAATACATTTACAGCTAACTAAAAGTTCACTCTGTTATGTGGTGTGTTGAGTCTGAGTGCTGTGTAGAGTCTGGTAGTCTTAATTTTAGCTTCATAGCAAACGGGTCGCCCCATCTTTGCTCTGCTCCTGTGCCAACGAAAAACACTCAGAATGTTTATCACAGTCCCTTGTGGAAAGATTGACAGACTGCTGTCTCAGCATATCTAGCATACACTCGCATTAAAGCATATGGTAGCCATCCGAAGTGCTAAACAAACAGTCCAACATTAGAAATGCAGTTCATCATTGATGATAGATGATAGCAGAACTTGTCGCCAACAGATCAGCAGTTGCCCACGCGATTAATTGTAATCACAAACGGGCACCGCTAACATTGCACGACAGGCATCACGACATTTTCTGAATCTACAATTCACACCACCACATTGGTCACAGTCGAAAATACATTCAACTCAGAAGCTGGGCGACGAAAGTATATCCAGTCTACAAATGGAGCAAAAAATTTGCCTCTGCTTCGAACAGCGCCGCTGTCTAGCGTCCATTTAAACCGGAAGTCTGTGTGCTTAACAGTGTCTTTACACATTGTTATGGTTATGTTGTAAACATATAGTGGTATACTTTTACCCTCCCTACAGTTTCTTACTTTTATGGTTGTATATAGTTTATGTACTTATTTGTTCTATATGTTATCTTACGGCTATCCTTCGAATAATGGTCGCAAATTATTGAGGCCCAAAATATACCCTAACAATGTCTCACTCACATGTAAATTTGTGGACCTCTTCCCGGCGACTACACAGCATACCGCGGAAAAGCTCATGTGATTGAGGCCCTGTTAGGGTATATTTTCGGCCTCGATAAATTCTGACCATTATTCAGAGGACAGCCGACAAAGTTAGTAACTCGTGTGGAGACAATTTTCACTTGAAAAATAATAAAAGAGATTGGGACAATCATTATGTAGATAGAAAGTCATGCAGCAGAACATCATGTTTTGGGGGTTAACACATTTCCATGACTCTAACTGACAAAGCTACAGGCAGTTTGGTAGCAGTGTAGCATTGGTTTCTACAATAGTTTGAACATTGTACAAAACAGAATAAAAGCAGCACCTACTGCTGAAACTGAAAGTAAAATTGCCTAGTTAAACCACACAACCACAAATATGTGATCATCATAATTTTATGTTGGGGATGGTTTGCCAAGTTGTTTACAGAATATGCAATCAGTATGCAGAACATCACAATCATCAGAACCCTCAGAAAATATTCTTCTAGTCCTTTGCTGATTCCCCTGCATCATGTACTTTGATGCCCAAGGGCCAAGTTGTCCTGTTTCCTACTGGTTGACCATCTGCTCTTTTTCCAGAAAGCAACTGTTCTTTCCAGAACACAATACATTAACCTGGTCTTCCAGGTTGACCCACTCTGAGGCAGGGTGGGTACAAGGAAATGCTACAGGAAGTGAAGGTAGCTCGTGTGATACTTAAAACATCATTCACCAAGTGCCGATTTGTCTTTAAAATATGGAGTGAGGACTATATGCCTAAAACCCTCAAAATGTGGAAAAATTTGTCTTTAAAAAAATGCTTGTATGACATTCCATGGCTACATTTAGTCTGTTGTGTTCTCTAACTGCTACTTAATGTTGTTTCACTACCTGTGACTGAAGTGTTTCCTTTGGTTACTCTCATCTCTACATTCAGCAGTTATCATTTGTAAACATTTTTCTCCAGAGTAATTTAGTCATCACTTACTCACGCAGACGCCGTGCACGTAAGAAAAAGTTGGAACAAGAACCTGTCAATGTGGAGCAATCAAACAAAGGTATTGCTGTTGTCTGAGGATACTCTAGCTAATGAGAGTTGAGATATAAAGTTAACAGGCACGAGTATGTTGTAGACCACAAATTGTTTACCATGTTTATTGTAAACAGTGGATAGTGAAACCGGCTTGTCAGAACACACAGACCTGGGGGCAACACAGACCTGGGTAAATCCCTCAAGGTTTTTTTTTTTTTAAACTTCTGCAACCTTGTTAAAAAAGTAAAATTGTACAAGTGACCAATATCTGTGAAGTGCTTGCAGCTTAGCTACGAAATGATTTGTGCTTGTTTAAGAAAAGTTAAAACAGTATCAGATTTTTTTGTAAATATTATTTTTTTTAGTAGCATTGACCAAACATGTGTATATGTGAGTGTTCTGTTGCACCGATTCTTTTAATGTTTATTGAAATTAAAAAAAAAAGGTCAGCATAGCCTAAAGGGAAAACCAGGTAATGTCTTGGGAAGTAAAAGAGGTCAGTAATGATGTTGACCACTTCATCCAATTTGTCTGTGAACCAGAGACTGTTGCAGGCAACTCTGCCCTAGAGTTTTCATGTTTAACATCGGTTGTAGAACTAAAGTATAGTGGTGTAGTGACTTTCTGTGTGATATTTTGTCTGTTCTGTATACACTAAAAAATATTTAAAAAAAACATGTGGCAAAGGCAGTTAGAGACAGATTAACCATATGGGAAGCAGAAAGGACTACAAGTAACGAAGGATAAGGGGCTTGGAATAATGTGACTGAAAATCTTGTATTTGTTAGGAGCAGTGGCAGATAAAGTAGAAGGAAGAGGACTTTGGACAGATTGATGTATTTAAAAATATCCCGGTTGGAAGAGAATTCACAGCCTAATTGCTTACTTGGCCCTCCTTTGCCATTGATATAGATGTTTGCATTAGAGATCGCCAGACTTACCTATCTGTGTAGGGTCATTAACTTATTGAACCAGAGCAATGAAATAACACAGAGAAAGTCTTCAGCATCATGCCAGTCACCTTTACTTCCCAGGACTCTACCTGGTACCCATTTTAGACTATGTCAACCTGGTATCAACGGTGAATTTTCTTTAAAAAAAATATTTATAGGTGTTGATTTAAACCCACGACCTCTGGATTAGGTAAAAAAAAATGTCTAGTCTAATTCTTTGAAATTTCCCCACCAAAATTGTTAAGTTTTGAGCAGAATATGCCAAAGTGATTGGCAATTTCAGCATATGAAACAATAGTTTTGTGTCAAGCCATCAGAGCTTATTGAAAGACTGGAATGATCTTGTTACAAAGTTCTGGATATGTTTTTGTTATTTCAGTTTGCCAGTTTTGTTTGAGTGAGGAAGACTGTGAAGTAAATTATGGCACCATATTTGAAAAAGAGGATGTTATTGTGCACTACTTTTGCATGGTAAGTTCTAGTCATCTCTATTAGGCATTAAAGTAACATTTTGTTGTTGTGTGCTGTTAGTTAGCAAAAAAAAACTTATTATTAGTCTTACGATCTTAACCAAAATTATGACACTAATATTCAGTTGCATGTTTTATCTTTTGTTCTCTTTTTAATCTTGTGTGACTCATTCACAAAGATCCTCAGTGTGTGGGGGGGAGGGGGGATATAGACCCACAGCTCCTTAACACATATGTATTGGAAGAGGCAATGATTCGGGATTGGTTTATCACAGACTATCTGTAAATCACAACACAGTATGCCAGCTACTCTCTGAAGTGTGAACACAGAAGTAGAATTCACACACGTTTTCAGAGTCCAGTAATGCATGCATGCTTCATCACTGAGCAACAGTTACTTGCACAGTTGAAGTGGCTCTTGACCAAGATAGTCAGTGCACAGTAAGAGCAGCAGAATGAATGGCAGACTGGTTCCCTGTCTCATCAGGTGTCAGGCAGGGATGTGTCCTCTCACCATTGCTATTCATTACAGTGGAACCTCACTTAACGAGCACAATTCGTTCCAAATGATACATGTTAAGCGAAACACTCGTTATGCGAAACATTTTTCTCATACAAATTAATGTAAAATACGATAATGCGTTCCATGTCGAAAAAATACTCACAAAATGCTATGTATAACTTTTATTCAAAGAAAATTATATACATATCATTAAGGAGAGTCAATCATCTTCATCTTTTCTTCAACCGCGAATGGAATGGAAATGAAATGTGAATTGGATTTGCAGAAAAACAAAGTCTTAAAAAATTATGATAAATAGCTAATTATTTATTTTACTAGAAAGATGTCCAGAGACATTTGCTTTTCCTGACGCTTCAAAATTTGGCAAAAATGCGACACAGCATTATCATTAAATAAATTTGCAGCGTGCATAGCCACTTCCTTATTAGGGTGATGCTTTTCAATGTAAGATACAACAGTTTCCCATGCTTTCAGAATTTCTTTAATTCACTAGAAGATATTTGCTTTTTTTGTTACCTCCTCCTCCTCTGACAAACTTTCCTCCAAAACGTCTTGCTGTGAAAAACAATGCAACCCCATAAGTTCTTCGGTGGTCAGATCTTGGCTGTGCTCTTCCACAAGCTCTTCGATATCACTGTTATCCACCTAGAATCCCATGATAGTGGCCAAAGACACAATCTCGTTGACTACAGGTTCCACAGGTACTATCTCGAACCCCTCAAAGTCACATTTAACAAAGCTCTCTGGCCAAAACGTCTTCCAAGATGAAGTTAGATTTCTCTTGGTAACCTCTTCCCCCCGCCTTGTCGATCATCTTGAGGCAACGATGTGGAAGTGATTTTTCCAAAACTTATTGAGGGTAAGGTTGGTCCCTTTAGTCACCTGAAAACAATGCTCGAAGAGTGCTTTAGTGTAGAGCTTCTTAAAGTTAGAAATAACTTGCTGGTCCATGGGCTGGAGTAACAGAGTGGTGTTGGGTGGCAAAAACTGGATCTTGATGAACTTAAATTCTTCAGGGAGGTCATCTTGTAGGCCTAAAGGATTCATGTACATTTATCACAATATAACAAAAGTTTAAGAAAATGTGTGATCACAAGCGACACTATGATGCTACTAGAACGAGTGCTAAACACAGATGATGTAACATGCGCACTATCCGGGACTTTCCCTCTCCTCGCCACTCGTTATGGGAAAACGTCGCTCGTTAAGCAAGTAATTCTTTTACAAATTTTTTTGCTCGTTATGCGAATTACTGGTTATGAGAGGTGCTCATTAAGTGAGGTTCTATTGTACTTACATGGATAGAATAACACAGGAGGCAAATACAGATGGAAGAAATCTATTAACTTCTTTTTGCAGATGATCAATGTCTAATACCCCACCAAGAACATAATTTACTACACCATATTTACTCCTTACATCAAACCTGCACAAAGTATGATATTATATTGACAGACAAAGAATGAAATGATTTGGCCATCTAGTGAGAATGCAGCCAGACCAGACTGCATATCATACTTTTTACAGTAGAACATCTGGGAGAAAGGCGAGAAGACCAAAAAAGAGATGGATGCATGGTGTATTTGAAACCTGCAAAAAGATAAATCCATCACTCAAGCCACCTGAGACATGTAAGTCAACAAACAGAGAACCACGACACTGGGCTACAACATGGTATCAGTGAGATGACAAAAGAAGAAGAAGAATTAAGACCTAATATCACAGCACTGTGAGCATTCCACACAGAACACTCTGATCATGCCCCTATGCGTAATTTTACAAATAACTTGAACTTTAGGTGCTTTAATTTTTTTACATTAGTGAACAAACCCTCTGCCATTACACAGTAGCAGAACCATCTGTAATCCCTTGACTCATTTAACAAATGATCTGCCTTTTCAGTAAGCAGTTGATCTAGTTGACTGATTCTGATCAAGTTCTAATTTCACTGCCTTCTGCAATTTCTCAGCTATTGTCTAGTGGTCTGTGTCAGAATGCCAGAGTCAGTGACAAGAAGAGTATTCTTGGCTTTACACTTGTGGACATCAAGAAAGAGCTACACAGAGGCTCTCGGCTGGTAAGTTTACTTGTAATCATTCTTTGGATGTTTATTTCTAATATTGTTGTCACTTATTCTGTGGGAATCTAATTGCTGCAGCATTGTGTGGTCAGCTTTTCAGCTTGAGTTAAGCTGAGTCTAGAACCGATAGCACAGCACCATAAGTGCTCCATCCTCATTTTCAACAGCCAGCGAACTGTTCCAGTTCCATTGCTGCCAATAACAATCTAATTATAAGTCCACTTTGCCTTTCCTCTAAGTAGAGTTAAGACCAGACCCCTGGTCACTCCCACCAGTATAATTCTCTCCAGATCATAATGATCTGTTCATGCCTCTGCATTATTCACCAGCTCCCAGAGAGCCTTGAGCACATCTAGCTTGTCATGCATCAATTCACTGCCCAGTTTTGCAGTATGTCTGACTGTTTTTTTCCCAGCACACCTGCATATCCTTGAGAAAATATTCAAAAGATGCTAACTACCCAGAACATCTGAAGCAACTCTGCATGGAGCATGCCTATACCTTTCTCAGCATGTATTGTGAGTTTTATTGGTGAAAATGTGGGGGTGACTGCAGTCAAGCTAACACAAGCGTTTGTGTCGTTCACTTATGTTTGAAAAAGGCTGCCTGTTTGAAACGTTATTTGTGTTGTTTTGTGCACGTTTTTCTGCTTCCCCATTTTGTTAAGCTATTTTTTTAGTCAAATTTCCCTGGAATTCTTTGTTAGTTTTACAGTCTTGAAATGTGCGTGCAGCTGATTTTCTGGCCAGTGGAAAGCTGATGTAACTGCCTGCACCCCAATTGTCAAACTAGATGTTGTAGTATCATATGTTAGGCTTTAGTGCACCAGATGTCATCCATTTACCTTTGCAATCAACCCCTGTACACTTCTTCTGCCTCTCAGCACAAAGCCATCTGTATAGAAGATTAATCACATCACTTAGCTGAAAATTGTCATGAATCAGTTCTGCCTTTCTGAGTCTGCAGTGCCAGCTAGCCAGTCTCTGCATTTCCTGCTCAGTATAATTAGAATCCTACATGTCTGATTTTTTGCTCTGACAATTTGGCCCACTGCTCTCCTCACCCTGTGTGTTTTTTTTTTAAACATCACATATCTCTAATTGCCTCTTCTGGATGTGCCATCCGAGACTTTCTTCATATCAGCCTGTGGCTCTTACCTGTATCCACATTCATTTTTTTTAAATCAGCAGTAACTCTTAGGTTTGATCTCGCTTGTGATAGGACACTTAAGTCCTAATAAATCATAGGTTTTTTAGTCTTAGCATTCCAAGCCAAGTACTTTGTCACCCCTTGTAGTCCTTTTCCTGTTCCCTATGTTACCAGTGTATCTGTAATTGCCTTCTCTATGTTGTGTTTGATCTCATATTATTTTAGCTTGTGTGTCCAGAAGGAAATCTTTTTATGCCACTTGCTGGATTTCTCAGTACCTGTCCTGTCAGATGGTAGCATCTGTTGTGTTTTTGATGGAGTTTGTTTCAATTTCTTGAACTCCACATTGGTGATTCTATTGCTGGAGTTTGTTTACATTTTATGAACTCCAAATTGGTGATTCTATTGCTGGAGTTTGTTTAAATTTAATGAACTCCACATTCTGATTCTATTGCAGAAGTTTATTTAGATTTAATGAACTCCACATTGTGATTCTATGGCTGAAGTTTATTTAGATTTAATGAACTCCACATTGTGATTCTATGGCTGAAGTTTATTTAGATTTAATGAACTCCACATTGGTGATTCTATGGCAGAAGTTTATTTAGATTTAATGAACTCCACAATGGTGATTCTCTTGCTGGAGTTTATTTAGATTTAATGAACTCCACATTGGTGATTCTATGGCTGAAGTTTATTTAGATTTAATGAACTCGACATTGGTGATTCTATGGCTGAAGTTTATTTAGATTTCATGAACTCCACATTGGTGATTCTATGGCTGAAGTTTATTTAGATTTTATGAACTCCACATTGGTGATTCTATGGCAGAAGTTTATTTAGATTTCATGAACTCCACATTGTGATTCTATGGCTGAAGTTTATTTAGATTTAATGAACTCCACAATGGTGATTCTCTTGCTGGAGTTTGTTTTGATTTAATGAACTCCACATTGGTGATTCTATGGCAGAAGTTTATTTAGATTTCATGAACTCTACATTGGTGATTCTCTTGCTGGAGTTTGTTTTGATTTAATGAACTCCACATTGGTGATTCAATGGCAGAAGTTTATTTAGATTTCATGAACTCCACATTGGTGATTCTCTTGCTGGAGTTTGTTTTGATTTCATGAACTCCACATTGGTGATTCTCTCCTTACATTTTAATTCAGCTCTGAGCATGCACCTGTTAAGGTTCAAGGTAATAATTCAGCTAGATATTTCTTTGCCATTTTACGTACACCAGATGACAGGCATCATTACTGAGGGTGGGATCTGATCCCACTGTCTTGGCAGTGCTGGTGAACTGTCTGGCACACACCACTAAATCTAGTATCAAATTCTAATTTCTGTTTAACAGCTTGATCCCTCAGATTCCATTGTTCACTTACACTTTGTAGCATGGGAGCCTCTTTATGATCTCTGTACTGTATGTTGTTTTCAATGTCTTACAAGTAAACCTGTTATCTGATTCATTATGAAAGAAGAGAAGAGTTTTCATGAGAAGGTTATCAGAACAGTTTGAAGTAGTCCCAAGTGACCTGAAATACACTTGTCTGATTCATGCCTGTATATTTGGTGAACTTGGTCTGTTTTTTTGTACAGAAATGCTGCTTCTGTCGGCAAAAAGGTGCAACTATAGGATGCTGTGTCAAGTCATGTAGAAAAGTATTTCATCTGAGCTGTGGCCGCGAGCATGGGACTATGCACCAGTTTTTTGACAGTTTCAGGTACAAGAATCTTGTTGGGCTTTCAAGTGGGTAATTTAGGTGTGCCTGGGTGCTCACATAGTGGGGACATTTTGTGGTGGTCTTATTGTGTTGGGGTCACAAGGTTTTGTGCATAAATTGTAATGTTATGTTAGCAAAAGACTAAATCTCTTTTATTTGCTAACTTTCATAAAATTGTTTACTTTGTTGGAATATTTTCTGAAATTCAGAACTTCTTTCAAGAAGAGATTGTTTGTGATCAGTATTTGCCTGCGAAAATAACTTTGTTTTCCAGCTTATGTACAATTCTCTGAGGAATCAAACTTCCTATTAAAGTTTTTATTTAATCTGTTGTCATATCTGGGGAACTGTGAACCTTAGACATCTTGTTTTGCTGCTTTGGGTTATAACACAAGAAATAGCTTTCAATAAAGCTTCAGTGCCGTCAGTGTCAAATATACATGTACAATGGCGGAGAAAAGTCCCAAGCTAGGATCATATGTTTGCAGTAGGGTATGGTAACTAAGCACTGAATCACCCGCTAACCACTGAAAAGTTCTTTTACCAAGTGAAGAAAACCCTAACAAACATAACAGTACAAGGTCAAGCACATACAAAGTCAAAGAGGGATATATTGTGATGATAGCCTGAAGCATGACTATTCAACTGGCGGCCCACAAGCCAAGTTTGGATCTGCGGATCATTGCCAGTTGTATCGTACTTAATGATTTTTCTTTGCTGGGGCTAGGGACTCTGTCACCCATGATGATCCCCATTGTGTCTCCTGAGCAAACTTAATGGATAGCCCTGGCGTAAAGTATGGTCTCCGGCAGAATGAAATAAAGAAATAAGTTAGGGAGGCAGTGCTGAAAGGTGTTTTCAATTCAGTAACCTGATGTGTGTTTAAGTCTAATTACTTGAAATGTTTGCTACCAGTATGTGTCATATAGATATTGCCTTCACCTAGATGTTGTAATTAGTACTTGTAATTTTATGGACACACAGGAGAATATGTAAGTGATCAGCTTGTATACATCTCAGGTCCTACTGTGAGAATCACAGACCAGAACAGAAACTGCCCAAGAAGAAACCTGGTCAGTTGAACCCTGCTAAGACCTGTTCTATTTGTTTCTGTCTTGTGACGTCAAAGGCTTCTTGTGATACTCTGATACCACCATGTTGCCAGAAGTCGTTATTCCATCGACAGTGCATGCAGGTAAGTTCTATTGAAGTGTCTGTCCCAGCTGCTTATTTAGACTCAGTGTGTTGTTTATAGACTTGCTTGTCTTCTGAACGTGTCTCCTAGTATCAGCCTGGGCCTTTGTTGGGGTTACTTATGAAGCTTTTGTGTTGTGTGTTGCAGGCACTGTCATCTCACAATAATATAAAACTGCCCTTATGGCTGAGGGAAACTTGGCTTGGCTGCTAATATATGTATAGTATGGTACTGGCTTCTGCAGTCTTAATGTTATGTCACTGTTGGGACATTTTTGTAAAGTACCTTTTATCACACACACACACACACTCTCTCTTTCCCCCCTCCCTCCCTCTCCTTTCTTTCCCATTCTGTCTTCGCCTGAAAGGCATGGGCATGGTCTAACTAAGGAGAAACAAGCAAGGAATGCGTCCTACATCTCTTGGCAGACTATATCCTGGACTCAGTTGAGCAATATCTAGTGTTCGTGCTCACAGATTTTGTCTTCACTAGAAAAGCTAATGTCTTTTTTCTCCAAATAGACATTTAATAATGCTTCTTTACCAAATAATAATTTTGTATGCTGTGATTGTTTCTTGTTGTGATTTGAAAGGCAGTATGTCTGTAAAGTCATTTGTGGTTAATGTGCTCAGTAACCACCGATTATTCCAGATGTTTTTTTTTTAGATCCAACACAGCGCAGATGTAAATCAGCTGTCCCTGTGCAAGATGGAAACATAACACTGTTTTCATTGTTATTGCAGCAATATTCTCTGTCTGCGGGCATGCACTACTTCAAATGTCCACTTTGCAACTCAGTTGAAGAATTTCAGATGGAAATGAGATCATATGGTATCTATATTCCAGATCAGTAAGTAGACAAATCTTCTGTAGTGAATATTTGTCACCATTAAACATGTAATGTAATGTAAACATTAGCCCGAATTATCTGTAACCTGCAGTACACAACATTAGTGGACTTCCTGGGCAGATAGTAAGAGTAGCCAAAATCTTAACGTTGAATATTTTGGAAGTTTGGTTCTGACTTCATCTATACATTAGACAAGTCACAGATACCATTTAAGGGGTGGCGTTTAGGAACTTTGACAAAAGAAATTATGTTGAGGAAAATTAATTGCATTGTATATGCATGAAGAAATTGTTGTATGGGTATATGTATAGTGGCTGCACATTTGCTTAAGGGAGGGGGAGACAGGTGACTGCTTTGCATGAGTAACTAACATTGATATTGGGTGTTGTTTCTGAATCGACTGTGTTTTATAAATCTCATTATAGTTTATCTTGAAAACTTTAAGAAAAAACCAACTGCTGCATTTAGTAGCAACAATGAACACCAGGCAATTGCAATAAAAGAATGAGAATATATTGACAAGAAAACAAGACTTTTAAATTAAAATATTTCTTGAAAACTTATGTTTAAAAACTTCAGTTTAGTATCTGGCAGGCTGCAAGTTGCTTATGTGACATGTTTGATTGCTTATGTGACATGTTTGATTGCTTATGTGACATGTTTGTGGCCAAGGAGAAAGTGTGAACATTGTTGCCTCTCTCCATCACTTACTTTTTGTATACCTCCCTCCCATTATCTTGCTCTGCATTTTCCTCTCTCTTTGGTTCTCTCCCTCTGTATGTTTGCCTCTTTATACTGTCCCTCTGTTTCTTCCTCCTTTCTGTCTACATCTCTTTGCTTGCATTTCTCCTCTCCCTGTTCCTTATCTCTCCCTCTGTCATCCTCCCTCCAACTCTCTGTCATATTTTTCCTCCTTCCAAATCTCGTTTCTTTTCCTTCCTCTTCATCTGCCCATCCCTCTATCTGCATGTCCCTCTTTTTGTATTTGTCTCCCTCTCTTCTTTCGCTCTCACTCTCCCTCATCATTCTATTCCTCCCTCTTTGTCATCTTTTTTTCTTTCTTCCCTCTATCTCTCTTTTCATTCTTCCCCCTCGCTTTGTCTGCCCATCTGTACCTGCCTTTTCTTCTTTACCAACTCTGCCTCCTTCTCTGACTTTCACACTGACTTTCCCACTCTACCTCCCTCTCTCTATGACCTCTCTCTCTCTCCTATGTCTAGGTGAAATGGATTTGTCCCATAGATATTTGTATGTCGGTATCATGCAAAAATTAAATGGTTTGTCCACTTGGAAAGAATGCCTTCTGATGCTATACCATACAAGGCATATACAAAAAGAGGAGAGGGACATAGAGCAAGAAGTAGACCAAAAACAAGATAGGAAGATAACATCGGATAAACTCTACAGCATTACGATGTGTCTATGGTCGAAGCAGCCAGAAGAGCAAGAGGTAGGTCCTTATATCTCCCTCGACACCCGAAGCGGTAAAAGAGGATGTGAAAAATAAGAAGTCATGCATTGACAAGCCACATACAGGAGGTTTTCTGATGGAGATGCTGCTAATGTAGGATCACATTGTTGTGAACTCAATCATTTATCATTTGCTACTGAAAGTAGAAACCTGTTTCATTCTTTTGAATTAAAAATGTTTCAGTGTTTGAATGTTTCCAACTTTAGTAAATATTCATACAAGAAGTATGACCTTTCATTGGAAAATGTGCCCACTAAAGTTGTACTGATGGGTATAAGAGATAGGATTGTGAATCCTATCAGAATATATTGCAAAGATAACATTTACTGGGTCTGTCAGTTTGCAGCTCTCAGCAGAGCTATCAAACTGTCAACTGTGGCTCATATTGTGGAGAGTACACTGATCTCTTGAGCAGTCAGCAACAAGGCACAGCTGATCAGGAGTCCTTGGATGACATTGTTGACTCAAGACACTTGTCAGCTGATGTCAGTTGTTCACAGATGGCTGAGAGACCGCGAACGCCCTTGATGGTGTTTCTCACATCATTTATTTGTTGTAATCCTTCTGCAGCTGGCCCTGTGTGGCATGGTATACATTTATGGGGCAAGGTCATGGAGACCGGTGGACATTAACTGCATAATCAACCTCTTTTTGTCATTGATTAAACATGAGAATCTTAACATTTTATTTCAAGACAAAGATGTATCACACCTCTGTAATTGTAGATTTTGTTGTTGTTGGCCCACCATTTCTGTGTTGACAAAGAAATAACATTCTTGTTCTGTTTACCTAGGGATGCTTCATGGGAGAGAGAACCAAATGCATTTGAGGAGTTGCTGGAACGACACAATTGCTGTGATGTCTCAGAGTGTGCCTGTCCTGAAGGCAGGCAGTTTGATGCAGACTCTGGGTAAAGCTCTTTTTATTGAACATTAACTGTTTGGCTCAGTCAGGATTTCTCATGCTCCTCTGTTTTTTTTTTTTTTTTTTTGAACTACAGAAATTCTACTCATGGTGCTTTGATGTAGAGGTCTGTTGATGTGTAAATATGTGCTCATCATCATCCTGTAACACTACGTGTCGTTGGGTCACTAGTGGCTGTTTACTGTCTGATCAGCTGCCTCCATTTTTGTGGAGTTCAGTGGACTTCATGGTTGCATGCCTGAGACCTGTCAAGTCAGTCAAGTTGTTTATCCTAGTCTGTCTTGGTCTGCCTGTTTCCCTCTACTGTGCCCCATAGTACTGTTTTGAGAGGCCGTTAGATCTGATTATATATCCATACCATTACATTTTCCAGCTTTTAACTGTACTTTTAACCTTGACATTTGTGATTTAGTCTCTGTATGATATGCCAGGAGTTTGTTTTTCTGGTATTTCCAATGCTTGTATCTTTTCAAGTTCACCTGTTAAGGTGTACGTTTACAGCCGTACTTAAATGTACTAATAGCTAGTGCCGTGAACAGTTGTAACCTAGTTTTACATGAGATGTTTTTTTATCTCCTAAATATTTGCTGTTTGGCAAGAATCGATGCTGTCTGAGCAGTCCAAGACCTGACTTTTTAGGTCACTTAAAACAGAGTATGTGAACTCATTTGTGACTTTCATACACTGACGTAGTTATACCAGCCGGATTATTAGTATTTACTTGAGACTTTTCCGCGTTTATTTTGGTGCTATACTTGGTCAATGTTTCATCAGACAGGTTTACAAGTTTGACTAGCTCTTGTTCTTTCCCAGCCAACCCGTTGATGTCGTCCGCAAACATTGTTTGTTATAATTTATCTTTCTATACTAACTGTTCCATTATGTTTTTCTAGGGTGTCAGTCATAATTCTATTACTTTTAATAGTGTTATTAAAGCATAATGTTAGTGTTACTTATTGTAACTGTTTAGTTGAAATATAAATATTCATGACCATCTGTTCTGTGTACCTCAGATAACAAACTGTATGTTTCATCTAGTTTGTGTGTGTGTATGTGCCTAGGTGACAGAGTATTAGCCTCTTTCTGAATGTAGACTGTTGGTAATCTCATCAGATCTGGACACACCAGTGTCAGCTCAAGCTTTGACTGGAGTACCTACAAGATACTTCTGGGGCATCTCTTATATATTAGACTGTACTGTTTGACAGACAAGTCAGAATACATCTGTCTGGAATTGTCTAGCAGTCAGCTGATATGTTTATATGCAGCCATGTCACTCAATTCATGTCTTCTGATTTTGTTTTTTAAAACATGTTTTCTCCTAAAATAAAGCTGTCTTTGCATTTTTCTGTCCCATTTGAAGCACATTGATTCTAATTCTCTAACACCCACTTAATGCTAACATCTGTAGCTGGAAGTAATGCCAGTATAGCTAGTTGGAAGTATTGTTCACCTATGTAGTTTAGAGTAATGATAACGCCACTACACTACAATCATTACTATACTGTTTGCCACTATTATTCTACTTTTATAATATTGATTATCATCATTTGCTATTGCAATAAGCGTAGGTGATCAGATAGTCTTGGTCTCACACAGTTGCCACAATCATAGAGCAGGTCTGTGTTCTTATAATGCCCCCATGCCATTTGGCTAAACCATCCAGGCACTTATCATTTCTTAGTGCCCTTATTGTTTTCCATTACATTACATCACTATTGATCACATCTGTCGGCTATTGATCACATCTGTTGACTGTTGATCACATCTGTTTGACTGTTGATCACATCTGTTGACTGTTGATCACATCTGTTTGACTGTTGATCACATTTGTTGGCTATTGATCACATCTGTTTGACTGTTGATCACATTTGTTGGCTATTGATCACATCTGTTGACTGTTAATCACATCTGTTTGTCTGTTGATCACATTTGTTGGCTATTAATCATATCCGTTGACTGTTGATCATATCTGTTTGACGATCACATTTGTTGGCTATTGATCACATTTGTTGACTGTTGATCACATCTGTTTGACGATCACATTTGTTGACTGTTGATCACATCTGTTGGTTTATTCACAGAAAATTTGAACTGCTACTCTGTGGCTGGTGTGGAGCCTATGGTTCACACAAAGCCTGCAATGGGCTTGTGTGGAGAGGAGTCCATTTAGTCTGCTGTGACTGTGCAGAGATAATTGACAATGGTGAGTAGAAGGATAAGGCTTGTCACTGTGCAGAGATTATTGACAATGGTGAGTAGAAGGATAAGGCTTGACACTGTGCAGACTTGCTGAATGATACAGCAGATCTTTTTATTTTGGTTTCAGAGCCATGATGTATGGGGATGACCACCACTATCTCCATATATCACAAAGTGGGGTGGGGTGGTTCCTGTATGAAGACAGATATGCTTCATATGAAAAGGCCCAGTAACATGCCATGTATCTTATCTGCTGAGGACACGATGGGGATGCTCTGAAACTGGGATGACTAAAACACTCCAGCTTTGTATACCAGGAAGCAAAACATAATCAAGACCTGCCTGCTAGAACAAATTGTGACAGCCTGCCTTCAGCTGTCTGTTACATCACCATGCCCAGGTCCGTTAGACAAACAACTACAGAACAAGATCAGCAGGATCATAGCACACTCCATGCAGACGGTAACAGAACAATGTATAGACCAGTGTTTTTCAGCCAGTCTGCCTAATCATGTAAGGGGGTAGGGCAGGTAGTTTGTCTCTTCTAGGATATCAGTCTGTAGGATGAACACCTCAAGGATGAGAATCATACAGGTACAAATTTTGGAAACCTCTTCAGCCATATAAAACAGTTATACTAGGGTACCCGACTGTCAACCACCTCAATTATCGTATAATACATATGGCTTGCAGTATATGCCATTAACAGATAAATCTGCCTAAACACACACCAAGCCGAACACCTGTGGAGCACACACAAAATCTTTAATTTGCAAAGAGCATTAAACCTATGGTGGTAAACCTTAAGAACTGCAGGTGCCCCTTATTTGAAACGCAGGCCGTGCCAGCTTTACAATCACCAGTCAGGTCTGTCCGTTCCCATAAATAAACACCAGGCTCAAACCCACATCATTCTCTGACAGGAGGATTCTGAGGTGTACACAGAGTAAATGGCGGAATGTGTTCGAGCAGACACTAACACCACAACTAATGCATTACAGTCCTAAACAACTGCTTTAACAGAATCTGCGTGAAAAATAACTTTGTAACTTTGTCAAACACTGTACAATACAAATTACGGCTACAACCTAATCGAAACACATGACTAAGGGTCACTAGACTAGTCAGTAACACGCTATATTCTAACAGTCTGTTACACAATGTCCCTGTTGTAAAGTTACACATATTCTCTCCTAATCTTTCCTCGAGCAGCGCTTTTGTTCCCCTACAATGTTCACTCCCACTATAACTCCTGTACTGGGTTTATGAAGACACACCAGCCATGTCAGTGTGAGAGTTTCTAACCTCTAAGCACCACGAGATGTTGCGTTAGATAGAAATTAGAATTAACAAACTGTTGTCTACATTTTTTCACTCTGCTTTTGGTTAGCTGTCAGCTAGGCCGTGAAACATTTTCCCTTGTTTTGATGGTCCGCGGATATAAAAAGATTGAAGAACACCCAGACCTTGTGAGACAGCATAATCATCAAAGAAAAGGAGCCAGTGAAAAAAAGAGCATTTTTATTTACAATTGTATGCGTGATAAAACTTTTTGTTTAATAAATTGAAACTTTTTTTTTTTTTTTTTTTTATTTCTGTATCCAAAGAATGGTAGCCTTTTGTTAAAGTTCACATTTCATGTTATTTTTGAAATATTGATGTGTAGCTGAAATCTGCTTGAAGCCTACAGTTATGATTTGTTTAAATCTACATTTGTTTTTAGTAGCCTTTAAGGCTGGAGTTATAGTTATAATTGTTTAAACCTGCTGCCACCAACTGTGTAAATTTCTTGTTTCAACAGCTGAAAGAAAGCAGAAGCAAGAAAAGAGTCAGCAGGAACAACAAACACCATGTCGACCAAGATCCAGAAAATGTGCTTTTCTCCAAGAACTGGACGAGCAGTCGCCCACATGTTCTGCAGCAAAAAGACTGAAGGAAAGTCCCCAGGACCAATCAAGGCAGCAAAACAAGAACTCTCCAGCAGGTCCAAGACAGAGACAGTGCATGAATAACTTGCAGCTGCAGTCACCAGCAAGTCTTCCTGGAGAGAATGACAGTAGACTTAGTGTTCAGAAACAAAGCACATGGAGATGGACAACAGAAAGCAGTAGTCCAAGCAGGCAACAAAGCAGCAAAGATAATCTCAGAGGTCGACAAACAACAGGTCAGCAAAGCGGCAGGCCGAAAGTAAGTAATCTGACGCTAAGAGAATCACCCAGCGGGCGTTTGCGGGTACGGAGAAGTACCTATGTCCAGAGATCCCTCAAATCACAATCTCAAGGCAGAGCTGATCTTTCACAATTGCGCTTGAGGGAATCATACACTTCATCTTTAAAGTGAGGAGCATTCTTTAGCATAAGCTTATAACATCACCACCTACTACTCCCATCCTGCTAGTGTGTTCAATGTTGCAGCCTGTGCATTGTGAAGTCTGAAATAAGTGCTAGTTTATAGAATGTAAGCATTGTCTGTTGTTGAATCAGGCATATGGAAAAGACAGCTAGTTTGCCAAATTTCTTTACTTTTTCATTTTGAAGTCTAAAATATACGTTTTCATCCAGTGAAATGTCAGCTACACAAATCTGTTAAAGTTACTAGATTCTAAAGAGAAGAGTTGATTCAAGAACCAACATCACAGCATCCGGGGCATTCCCATAAGCGCTCCTTCCCCATCTTCAGCAGCTAGTAAGAGTTCCGATGCTAATGGTGCCAGTAGCATTCTGATAAAACGTCCATCTTGCCTTTACTCTGGGCCTCGAGCATCTGCCAGAACCTCTCGTCACTCCCCGCTGCGTCAGTCTCACCAGACTGTGGTTATCCATCTCCTCCGAACTGTACGCGCTCTCCCACAAGGCATTAACCACGACTGCCTTATTATGCATCAGTATTCTGCCAAGTTGTGCAGAGCCAGCCAGTCTGTCCACCTGTTCATTTCCCAACACACCTGCATATCCTGGTGAAAAATCCAGAAGAAGTTTCTGTATAGATATTAAGAATTTTTGCTGAGATATTGTAGCATATTTAAGATACTGACAGTTCAGACCCCTGTCTTTTCTGTATTAATTCCTAATGTTTGCCACCATTACAGTCTACATCTCTGGAATCTATGTGGCAAAGCAGTAAGTCAGCATCCCGCTTATTCACACCACAAGCACTGTACTGATCTTATTCTCAAGTCTCCCCTTAGTTGTCCATGGTAGGGCTTTATGTAATCATTATAAAATTCTGATTAGCAACAATTTGTATTTTCCTTACTGTAAGTTAGTATTTGACAACTAGTATAGTCACAACAAGAGTTGAATCACAAGTGTGAAGTTTGCCAGGCAACAGTTCATTAGTTACAAAACATGAGTTTACAAGCTGACAACAAACAATAGTTGTGTTGATAAGATGGCTCTGTCCATCTCAAACTGTCCTGTAGCATCTGTAGTAAACAGTTGTTGACAGTCATACTTTCATGTTTATGTTTATTCAACAGAACAACAATATGGCACACAGGTGTAACCCATAAGTGCTCCATTCTACTTCTAACAGCAAGGATCCTGAAATACTTTAGGTAGATTTTAAACTCAAAATTTTGCCTTGGCAGCTACGCTAGGCTACTCTTTTTTTGACTCCCAACGGCCAAGTTATTTTTTACATGCACAACAATACATTCGGCCAACTGGTCTTACTACCCAGAGACCAGGAGAAATAACTAGTAATCCACCTGGGAAAATCCAATCCTTCACCAGGGTTTGAACCTGGGACCTCCAGTACTCGAGGTGGATGATATACCTCGAGATGACTCACAGTCATACTTTCAATGATCTATTACCCATTTGTGTACACTGGATCGACACTAAAGCCACACTGGAGCAATCTCTGAGAATTGATCCTGGACCACTATCTTGACAGAGAAGCATGTTGACCTCTTACGCCACTTTTCCGTCAAGCCGAGAAAGCTTTTAAATAGCCTAACCCTTTTCAGATGATTTCTCTCTTTGGATATTTCTCTTCAGACATCAGTTTAAGAACTGGTTTACATAAGATAATGTAACTGATGACTTGCTGTTGCTTCATTTAACACAAGATCTGGTCAAACAGCCATCACAGCTCACCACTGCTCTCAACGTCTGGTGTTTGAATGAAGCTGCTGTTTTGCTTGTGTTTGTTGCCAGCTGTTTCAGCTTTCCACATCCAGACTTTTCTCCCATGATGCTATCTTTTCATTCCACTTCTTCTATTGTTATGCCCAGTAAATTTGATTTTACCAAAATGCTTCTAAAACATTGATTGCATCTTCAGTCAGTTTTCATCATCATTTTATTATTTATTGCCATGCATTAACATCCATATAGCAGAGTCACAAATCTTTTTAGTTAGTGGATATTGTTTTTCTTGTGATATTTCTATTTATTATTATGTTCATTCTCGTAACAAAGGAACAGGTTTTGTTTTTTCTTTCTACTTTAATGGAGGGCACTGAGAGCATGCAATAACAAGGGTTGCAGAGAGACTTGCTAGTGTTTTTAAGATGTTTTATTGAAGTTCTTGTATCTTTAAGGCTTCATTCTATTTTGTACCTGCAGAGCTTGTTTCTGGTCATTATTCTTGCCTTCTGATGTTCTGCTGCTGTGAGTGGCAATCCCTTGATAATCTCTGCTAATTTGCCAGTAATAAGATATGTTGAATTAAGAATCGACATCACAGCACTTGGGACACTCCCATAAGAGCTCCCTCCCCATCTTCAACAGCAAGCGAAAAGTTAAAATTCCGATGGTACCAGTAACAGTCTGATTGTATATCCGTCTCACTCCTCCCCCGAGTGTCGAGTCCGGCCAGATCCCTTGTAACTCCTCGCAGTACCATTCTCCTCAGATCCTCAGACCGTAATGATCTATCTGTTCCTCGGTACTGTTCACTTGCTCCCAAAGGGCCCTCACAACATCCAGCTTGTCATAAATCAATTCACCACCAAGTGGTGTAGAACCGGCCAGTCTATCCGCCTGCTCATTTCCCAACACACCAGC